TTTAAGCCGACCACCCCATCCTGTACCTGTCCCCTCCTACCTTGTTCTTCTGACCAACCCACCCCACTCCACGACGTACCCACCCCACGCTCACTCGCGTTGTTTTCGTTGTCGTCGTGGCAACGCGCAGGCATCCGACCGACGGACTTCCTCGGTAACTTCTACATGTGCAACACGACGGACGTCGAGATGGCGGCCGTCGACTGCGACAAGGCAATCGCCGTCGAACTGAAACACGATGACAAGCTCGTCGAAGAAGACGGCGTCTACGTGCAGGTGAGGGGGCGCCACCGACGCGCGAGGGGGCGCCACCGATGCGCGAGGGGGCGCCGCCGATGCACGAGGGGGTGCCACCGATGCGTGAGGGGGGCGCTGCCGATGTGAGGGCGTCGAAGGTGGGGCGGTAAGGGTAGGGGTACGCTGGTAAGATGAAGGTAGTTTGTACGCTCTTTGTTTGTTTCGACTTTGCGGCACTCGATGTCTCATCTCGGCAGTGATTGACTAGAGCCGCCTGTGTTGTATCGCGCCAGGTCGATCTATCTATCAATCTGCGTATTGCTCAACGCGCGAAGGGCGGACGGGTTGTTTAGTTTGCGTTTTTCGCCTGCAGGTGGCGGTGCTGTTCACGAGCGTGAGCGGGCAGCGGCGCCTGCGCTGTCTCAACCTGTCGCTGAACTGCTGCAGCCAACTGTCGGACATGTACAAGAACTGTGACCTCGACTCAATGATCAACTACTTCGCTAAGCACTGTGAGTGTGTGTGGGGAGGGTGTGGGTGTGTGCGTGTGTGTGTGTGTGCGTGCGCGTGCGTGCGTGCGTGCGTGCGTGTACGTGTGTGTGCGTGTGCATGTGCGCGTGTGTGCGTGCGTGTACGTGTGTGTGTGTGTGTGCGTGAGTGCGTGTGCGTGCGTGCGTGCGTGTGTGTACGTGTGTATTTATCATCTATCTTGCATCTGCTTGCAGCCGTGCGATCCGTCCTCACGCGTGTGTGTACGTGTGCGTGCGTGCGTGCGTGCGCGTGCGTGCGTGCGTGCGTGTACGTGTGTGTTTATCATCTATCTTGCGTCTGCTTGCAGCCGTGCGATCCGTCCTCACGTCTGCACCGCAGAAGATCCGCGAGTCGCTCGTTCAGCGCGCGTCCGCCATCCTGGCGACCTACCGACGCAACTGCGCGAGTCCCTCGTCGGCAGGGCAACTCATCTTGCCGGAATGCATGAAGCTGCTGCCGCTCTACACGAACTGCATCCTGAAGAACGACTCGCTGCAGGGTAGGTGGCGCCACGCGTGTTGGCACGGCGGCGGCGGAGGTGGTATCGTTGGACGTGGTGTTGATTGAGAGACGGATTTTCTTTGTTGGGTTATTTTTGAGTTTGAATTGGTGTGGTTTATTTAGTGTAAGTCGTGTGGTGTTCTGTCGTGTATTTAATTGATTCAGTGATTTCGTAGCGTTATTGCTATTATTCTATTTGTTGTTATTGTTATTATTACTCTGAATACTGTTATTGTTGTTATTGTATTACGTTACATCATAGTTGTATTATTATTTCATTATTAATATCAAACGTACCCGTGATTAAGATACTAATTAAATTTCCGCTCGTTTCTGCAGGGCTGGAGATCAGCACGGACGATCGCAGCTGGCTGATGCACGTAACCATGGCGATGGACATCACAGCCTCCGTACCGTTCTTCTATCCGAGACTGCTGCCGCTGGTACGCCGGCCTCGCGATGTCTATTACCGCCTGCTTTCAGATCTACGTTAACGACCACCTCTCTAGAACAGCCACCTGTACATAGAGGCCATGGTTCTTATAGGCAACATAGAGGCTGGTTGTTGTACAGGGGAGCCACCTATTGAATGGCCACCTGTCGATGAAGGCTACTTGGCATTTCTCTTTGGTGGCTGCTATATGCAGGTTTTACCGTGATAAAGACACGGCCACTAAGGCCACTTTCGCTGTTTTCCTTTAATGGCCAGTATAATCACAGGTTTTAGGAATAGATATATGTGTATATATATATATATATATATATATATATATATATA